AGTTCTGTCATCCAGACCTGAGAAGATCAAGTGTGATGCACTATAGGCAAAGCCTGTCAAGCCACCTTGTAACGCCGTCCCACGACCGAGTGATATTCACACCCTCGTCTCCGAGACTATTTCACAGTTCACACCAACATGAGTGTTTTTTCCGGCCACCAGACACATTTTTCACTATTGCCTTATAGCTTAGATGGCCGCAAGATGAATGCGTAAAACGGAGTCTTTTGTGCGTTTAGCAGAAACGGCTTAAATGTGGACAAGCATTGGGTCGAAAAGACAAATATTCATACCAATCTGTGGGCCATCCGCAAAGGACCCATTTAAGTATAGCGAATTTTAGTGAAGTTTTAATTCATATATGACGAGAAAAGATAATTTAAGGGCCAGATTCTTACAATTTTCCACATTGATTCTGATAAAAGTAATATTTTCAAAGATCATTGCATATATTCTGTCGTAAAAGTAGCTGTGAATTGATGAGATTCTGGAGCATTATTTTGATTCACATTGTGCTACCACAGGCGTTTGGACTTTTAGTTTACTTGCAACATTTAGAGGAATAAGTATACAGTCTGACGATGCCCATCAGTTGGTAGAACAGCTGAAAGATCTGCCTGATCCATTAGAATCGAGGGAGCATGCCTCATGGACTGCGTCAAAGAGAAGATCGTGTCAAGACCAAACGAATACCGATGTCTTTTGATAAAATCAACCAGAGAACCTCTTAATTAGGCAATTTCAGAATAATATACTGATTGCATAGAAAAAAATTAGATGCCCTTAAAACCTAAAAATGATGGTTAAGGTGAATCTGATTAGCAATTAAAACAAGAATAATTACAACGAGAGGGAAAGCATAATCTAAAAACTCGAGTAGATAGTTGGGCAAATAATCCTTAAGTAAATTTTAATCCGAAGTGAGCATTAAATGAAAAATTTAGATGAGGAAAAATGCAAATAATTAGAGGCATTAAAAAAAGCAATATAAAAAAGAGAAGATCAAATGAAAAAGTGTAAAAAGTAAAACCACAAAAATATAAATAAGGCTTAAGAAAGAAGAGAATAGGAAAGGTGAGTTGGAAAAGAGTTAAACTTCATTTATTTCCAGTGTTTAAGTGTATGTGTTAAATTTAATAGTATCGTGGGGCCTACTCATCTGATTCTATGAAAAGTCAACTGATAATCACTTAAAGCTACATAAACCTACCAATTTGTAATAGTT